ATTAAACTGGGCACAGGCAGATCAATGGAACCAAATACCCAAAGTTGGAAAAATGGCTAATTGAAAAGGTATTGATTGTTCTGGTCAATGGCTTCCCCTGGATTACCGTGCACTTTCCCATGTTACAACTGAACTGTGGGCTTCTTAAACATGGAAAGAGACATGAAGAAAGAACGCAGATCACCGAGTGCAACGGCTGAAGCGTATCTGAGTTTCATAATCCAATCAGCTACGAAATTTTCAAAACTGGCTTTACAAGCTAAATGGTTTATTTTGATAAAAAGCTGAGCTGTTGAAAGATAAGCCTGGCCATCTTTCAACCACTTTAGATTTATCTAATCAAAATCTTTTCACCACACATTTTCAAAGGTAACACATTAGTCTGAGATTTACACTATGTCCGCCCACTGTTGGGTAGCATCTATTGTAATGTGTTCAGAATGTGATTGAAAAGAAATGTAAACTCAGTGGAATGAAAAAGACAGACTTGGCTTTAATTGAAAAAGACAAACTAAATGAATAATGGGTATATAAAACCTAGCCTATGCCACTTTTATCACCCATATACGACACTTAATGTTCAATTTATGAGAGACAACTGAACTGTGTTTCAAACCACCAGAGGCTTCCCTTCCTCTGACATCCTTACCTTCTTCTTTCTACAAGTACCTCAAGGCGGATACCAGCAGAGACAAACATACTTGGAATGCTTACAGCCTGCTCATTTTTTTTAGTACATTTAGATGTTTGAAAGAAACTAATGTGGATTAAGATTAGATTGACTATTTAAATGTGCATAACATCAAGAGACTTACTTAGTAATCCAAGGCAAAAATGCTTTCAATGGAAAGCCATGCCAAAATAGGCCCCAGCAAGAAAAGAGACGGCATTTTACTCTTAAGATAAATAGATAAATAAATTTCCTAATGCTACATATTTCTTTACAGATACTATTTGACCCAGACAAAGTCTCTATAAACTTCTGGTCCCTTGATTTGCAAAGTCATATTCCTATTTGTAGAAGAAACTTATCTTAAAGACACCATAGGACAATTTGACTTTCTGATCAAATGTTCTCTTAGCAACTTTATACTCATAGGTTGCCGCTGCCAAAATGGGGCAGACTCGTTCTTGCTCTGTGGGCTAATCCAGGTACTAAGAAGTAGGTGCCTATTGGTGACTCAGTAGGTGGCACTCTTCCCTTTGCATACTCAGCCAACGCTCCAGAAGGAACGCTAGATACACCATAAATCTCATATGGAAAATAAAACCAAAAGGCTGACCAAATTATAAATAGGAATTGAAAAGGTGAGGAGCAAACCATACTGTACTTGACATTGAAAACATCCTACCTTGGTTTCGAATGAATTGCATTCTTAATCAAATGCCCCTAAAGGGATTATTGACTACACTGTGTGAAGGTTTAAAAAAAAAAAAAAAAAAAAAATTGTTCTGGAAATCCCCAATAGGGGGGAAAGGCAATATTTCTAATCAAAACTGCCATCTGAACAAAATCTCAAGGTCACTTTGCTGAAACCATATAGTCACTGTGTTATGGTTTGATTTGATTTCAATTTTTCAGCGCGCTGATAGCTATTTTCTTCTAATACTGGTTTTATTTTCTAATTTATTAAGAAGAAGGTAACGCACTCTTCTAGCTTTCCTGTTGAAATTGTTGTCATGATATGCACAGAGAAGGAGCCCAGATATCTGATTGCAAACTACTGACACACCCATATCTAAAGGGCAATCACACAAACGAGAGCAGCGGGCAGCACCCCAGAGATGCTCACCTTCTCGCCTGCCACAGGAGAACTCACATAAATCAAGACCATGCTTGCTATTAGTCCCAGTCAAAATATTTGGGTATGGGGTAAGATTAAATGGCCAAGACTTAGGGCTATCCTTTGGTTCTAATTATCCAAGATAAACCTGTTCTTCCATTGTTAGGGAAGGGGTCAAAGGTTGATTCAACAAAATGTTATATAAACTATTCTAAAAAGAATAATTTAACATTTCTTATTTTCAAAAAATATAAGCCTTCATTTTTTGGTATATTGATGCTATAGAAACTATAACTGTTCAAACTATGCTGTCATTTTTTTCAAGGATATTACTAACTGTGAGTTAAGAATAGTAACTTTAGTTTTGCATTTCCATACAGTCTTTTTAAAGAGGAAAGGAATGAGGAGGGGGCAAATATTAAAATGGTAGTCTAAAGCTACTATCAAAAAGCAAAACAATGACAGAGAGAAAGCGTGATTACAAAAAACACATTTGAGCCCCTGTCTCTCCATCAAGCAAACACTTAACGTGTGACATATGATGACTTAGCTCATGAGCAGATGAAACATAAAATTAAATGTCATGTTTCTTTCTTCTGATAGCAGAGGATTTTAAATTCTTGTAAAGGTTGGTTCCCTATCTAACTCACACTGTGCCATGAATTTTAAGAGCCTTAACTACTTACAAGTACCAGGATCAGTGCCTCTTCTTATATTTAAAAAGGAACACACTAAGTAAGGGAACAATGTTTCTAAAATCCAAATCAATTAAAACACTTCACTCTAATTTTACAATTCTATATTTAATCATGTACTATCACCCAAAACATTTGAGTGATGGAATCATCACGTGCATCCCAATAAGATTTCAAGGGTGAAATAACTATTGAGAACATCTAGTCTAAAGATGTTAAACATAAAATCTTAACAACCATCTTTGAATACTTAAAAGTTGTTTTAAGCTATGAAGAAGGCTAATTCACTTAATTCCTTTACTATATACCATATCCATGAGTTTAAATGTCTTCTAAAAATAAAATGTAATGCAAACTTGTAATTTGCAAATATTTACTGTTTTAATCCCTCGTGTATTTTAGAAAAAGCTGATTTCAAAAACTGTGCTAGTACAACCTCTGACTTAAAAGATGGCAGACATATACAGAAAGTTAGCATTAGGAGATAAATGTGTAATTCTGAGCTTTGATTTACATGATACAAGAGAGAGTCACAGAAAATACTTGTAATCTATGAGGGTCAGAGAATGATGGGTCTCATAGCCCATATCATACATACTATGTCAGAAGTATAGCTGTGGATCCACATGATAACTTGCCTACTAAGGGAGCTTTAAAACCAAACAGAGATTTTTTTTTTTTTTAATTAAAACATATGGACCTAGAATAACCTGAAAACAGTGGCATTTCTGGAATAAAACATTTCTTTGATCTAGTTATTAAGATACTTTTCTAGACATGCAATTCCAGCATTGGACACCCCCCTCCCAAAAAAAGTTAACTATAGTGAAACAAAACTGATTCTCTTATAAGTGCTCATATAATGAAATAAATGCTTCCTTCTATCATCATTTACAGGTCTTTCATCATTTCTCTTAGTGACACTCATTAATGACAAGAAACATTTCTCAGAGTGACATAGTTTGTCATCACCCTGCATCATGTTCATACAAACACAAGTCTGCATCCATACACATATTTGCATTTTTTGATCTATTCATGATGCACACAATCCAACAGTTTAACAAGGTATTATGATGCTTGTTTTTCACACTATTGCAACAGTAAATTATTGTTCCAACTGTTACATTTTCGATGACCTTGTTTTTTAGCAATTAAAATACACAACTTACAACATAAGTAAGCATCTAGGAGAAACTTTTTAATTCAATTATCCATAATCAGCACTGGAAGAAATATTTTAAAGACAACCAAACTAATTCTGACATCTACAAGACAAAATACATGATGGTATCCAAGACCACCAGGATGGGCAAGTCTTGTGCTACTCTAAAAAGACGTGTTTTCTACTTTGTGCAGAACCATAGAGCTTCCCTTGATCCGTAAGTGGAAATACACACCTCTGTGCGTTACTGACCTAACAGCAGATTCGTAACAGTACTGAGGAACCACATTTCAACTTCTCAGAGTTCCTATAAATGGGAACGTAAAACCATAGGGGGAAGATGAGGGTGCAATGATGAACTTCTTTCATCACATGACACAGGAAGTAGGACTTTTAACACATCCTTCCCTTTTGCCCTTTAATAGTTACTGAGGCTGAAGACAGTGGCCATTTGAAAACCAGGCACCCTTCAAAAATGTAAACATGTTTGACCTGACTGTTCAAGAAAATGGGGGGGGGGGGCTGGAAACATCACCTTGCCACTTCCTACCTCCCAACACCTGCGGCCCTACAGTCTCTTTGCTAACTAACAGCTGCACCCCTACTGGCCTGACCACCCAGGAACTCGTATTTGGACATCTATCTACCTTCGCACGTCTCACACATGCATCCATCAACATTTGCTGGCCAGCTTCCGCCCTCACATTCAGGTCTTTAGGAAACTCTCAACTCTCCGTCTCTCCTGGGAGGATCAGCACATTTCAGCATACACGCCCACTCCCTTCTCGTCCCGACACCCGGGCCCCTGATCCCCCCTCACTCGGCCCGCCCCCACGGCCAGCAGAAGGTGAAGGCTGAGCGCTTCTGTCCCTGCCGGCTCGCCGTCCCGCGCCCCCGCCCCCAGTGTCACCGCCCCCTTCCCGCTCTTTACCTGCCAACAGGTTCCTAATTTCCTCAGGGATCGGACCGTGAGAGGAGGTGCTGCTGGGGTTGGGCATGGTTGTGGCTGGGACCTGGACTCGCGCTCGCTGTCCGGGTGAGCACCGCGGGGCTGCGAGCCGGGGCACAGCTACGAGGCCGAGACTCACAACAAGGAAGTCACTGGCTCTCCAGCCAGCAGTCGCTGGACGCCTGGCCCTGCCCCGGCCGGGAGAACGGGGCGGGACCATGGGCGAGGGGGCGGGGAGAAGGGCCTTGGAGCCTGACTGCGCTTGCGTAGCCCATGCTTTCTCAATGTCCAAAGAAAGCGCCTCCGGGCAGGCCACGCCCACATCACCTCCGGGCAGGCCACGCCCACACAGGGTGGAGAGCTGGAGGCGGGGCCACAGAGGGAAGGGAGCGGATTGGAGCCGTGTCACCTGACCGGGCCTTGACGCGCGTCCGCGCCATTTTTGGTACTGGTACGGCAGCCACACCTCACTCTTTCTGCAGGATTCCGGAAAATAGCGTCTTCGCAGTGCCTTCACGCTTCCCTGGTAAGGGGCCATCTGATTAGTTGTCGTTCCCACCAAGGTTTAAACCCCTCGTCTGGTAACCCACCAGGAAGTTGCCACGCACACCCCGCCACTAGCATGGCCTTCTTTGTCTGAATGAAGGTAACCAAGTCCCATTTTCCGCCAGTCCTTCCTGAGCGTCCCACTTCTAAAACGGCGGAGCGTTCTGATTGGCCCTGACATTACTCTTCTACCTATTCTTGGTGAGAATGATTTCCCTTGCTCTGAGGGAAGAAGTTCTAGACATTATCCTTTTGGGGCAGACACCAGAAAGCTAAGTTGATACTACTAGTAATCCATCGGAACCGCTGTCCACCTATAAGTATTTTTTTATTGCTAGTTGTGATTAGAAGAATTTATAAAATCTATTATTTTTCATTTAGTCAGCAAAGACTGAGCCTTCTGTCCTTAAATCATACAGGTTTACTCTAAAACCCCCAAAAGACAAGTTCTGGCTCCATTAGTCTTTAAAGTGCGTGTGTGTGTGTGTGTGTGTGTGTGTGTGTGTGTGTGTTTAAAATGATAACATTCAAGTGCCATTAACCTTTACAATTACTTACAACCTATTGTATAGACATATTTGTCATCAAAGAAAATGAAACTACCAGAGTCACTCTAGAATACAGAAGAGGCTGCTAATAGGAGTCTTCAGATAGAATCTGACAAGGCAAAACATTGGGAGTGTCCACTTCGGTAAAAATAGGCTTGGAACAGTGCCACTGAAATGCCCCAAGTGGCACCTCCCATCTTTCCTTTGGCACATCGTTTTCAAAATGACACGCGAATATCACCTTAACTGCTCTTGTTTCTCTTGGTAGAGACAGTGGCTATCATTTATTTTTCCCCAGTACTAATGTTGTACTCTGAACATTGTGTCAAAGCTACAATCAAAATGTAAATTGCTTATTCTTGTACCCTCCAGCTTCTTCTTTAAATTTTGCTTTGTTTTGTTTTCAAGACAGGATCTCACTATGTAGTTCTAGCTGTCCTAGGAACACACTAGGTAGACCAGGCAGGCTGGCCTTGAACTCCTAGAGATCTGCCTGCTTCTACCTCATGAGTGCTGGGATAGCACAGCATGTGCTGTGCCCAGCTTTTTTTTTCCCCCTCCAGCTTTCTTTAGACCAATGTTCATTATACTCCAAACTGCCTTAGAATCACAGAAAGAAACAACTAAAGTGTGGATTCTTAAGTTCTATCCCAGAGACTCTGATTAAATGGAAAACAGTCTCCAATAAATAAATATAAGGTGTGCTGAGATTCGATTTTAAGAACCATTTTACTACTATTTCCTAATTCCTACAGAGTAAAATTCCTAGTAAATGTCATCCCCAGCTGGAATCCTAAGCCTAACATAGAATAATAGCTCTATTAATATTTCATCAAAAAATGTCAGTGTTGGGGGATAGCTGAGAGCATGTGTTTAGCATGCACAATTCCCAGCACCAAATGAATAAATATCTGTATTTTTTCAGATACTACTCGTAAAAATTAATACTCAAATGTGCTATGACATTTATATAATTCTCAAAGAGGCAGTACTAAACATTAATTTTAAAAGGAAAAATTACGATATTTAGGTGTCCATGTCTTACAAAACAGCAAAGACAAAAACTTAACCATTGAAGTAAAACATGCAAAATAATAACAAAAAAGACACCTTCAAAGTGTCTATTTAACCAAAATGGAATGCAAAATTCCTACCCAGATGAGCAATGTGATGAATTATTTTAAAAAAGTACTGACAATTAAAATTCTTTTTTGTGAAGTTAAAAGTGAATTTCGATCTTCCGACTTGAAAGAAGTAAGAACTGTCATTAAACTACAAAATCATCCACTTTACTAATAAGAAACTATCCTGCGGACAGTTTATGTTAGGAAAAATATCCCCTCTTTACTCTCCACGTGTAATTCTCTGTCCTGTCACTGTTTTTATTAAGAGCCTCTGGATGTCCCTGCCCTTTGTTGCCTTCAGATAAGACTGACCACATTTTTTTAGTTTTCTGTCTTGTTTATTTGTACTCAGCTCATTCCACAAAGGAATTGAGGCAGTTTGCTCTGTTTCAAGTAGACAGCTCTCTAGAGTAGATCAAATGGACAGTGTCTGCACTGCTCATTATGACAAGTCATTCTTGTTAGCAAGAGACAAGAAACTGTTAAAACTACCCTAAAATGTATAGCATCTAGTAGTCCAAATCAAAAAGGCAATAACAGAAAATGGACTTTTTGTATGAAACACACTTTTCCTATTTAGAAAACCATTTTCAGACACAGGTTTTGTCTGTGTCTATGATGGATGCACTTAGGCGATGCTTTGTGTATGCCGTTATTTTTAGTGTTTCTTGCTAAAGTTACTGCATTGGTTGTAAGATGGAAAAAGAAATAAAGAGAAAGTGAAAGAAATGGATCCTTATTTCTCTTGTCTTCAAATGTTTTCATAACAAGAACTAGTAGAGAAATCAAATAATACTTTTCATACTTTAGTTGTATTAGGATAATAATAATAATAATAAATGAAACTTTAAATCTCAACCCAAAAGAGGCTGAGGCCCCTATCCCATTACACAGAAAAACCCTAGCCTCTTACAAACTCTCTTGATTTATTTTCTCAGAAGTAGATACTCCAGTTCAAAGAAAATAGTATACATCCCTAGAACTAAAACTAACCCCCTTCTCTATGACTTTCAAAATAAATGTGGAGTGCTGACCCATGACCTGCCCACAGTCCTTTATCTCAAAGAATTTAGATGTGCCCGCAAGAGAAGCTGACAACGGCCAAGACACCGTTTTCTTTGCCTCTCATCTTTATTTTTGTTTAGCTCTCATGTAGAAGAAAGATTATCCTGAGATATAGAGTCTGTTATTTATTTCTGCATAATAAAAGTTAGCAACTTGGTTACACAGCTATGATGGCCAGGAATTCACAAGCAGATTGACATGATCCTGCCTCAGCATCTCTCATGAGGCTCAGTGGCAGTCATTCACAGATTTGACCATAGCTGAGAGGATCTGACTGATGATTGCTCATCCTTGGACTGCCGGCTGGCACCTTTGGTTCCTCGTCGGCCACTGGAAAAAGAAAGGCCTTAGTTCTTGACAGCATGGCTTTCTCTTTGGGGGCGATGAATGCCCTTTTGATATAGCCACTGGCTTTTCCAGAGCAAGAACCAAGAGCTGGAGCAACCAAGACAGACTTGTGCTCATGTAAGCTGAGACTCTTAGACAAAAGAAGTAACTGAACTGGTGTTTAGTTCTAAGTTTAACCCATGAAAAACTCTTAAACCTGTCTTTCAAGTCACCTAGTAATGGCTTCTGAAGGGTGTTTAGAAACGAAGATTTGTTTTGTTTCCTAGATTATCTTTGTTTCCATTTGAAGTTTCTAAATATAATGTGAGTTTATCATTGTGTAGCAATAAACAAGAAAAAATTATATTCCCATTGGAATTCATATGAATTTATCCCCCTTAAAAGATGTGACATTGAACTTGAGAACCAGAAAGTTCTGGTAGAAGTAGCTCATGACTGAGCTTTTATGTTATGCTTTCTTTCTCTTGGGTTGTCTGTGCCAGATCAAAGTCACAGCCAGTGCTTGCTAGGCACATGTTCTATCACTGAGCTGCAGTCCCAGCCCACACCATAATTATCACTCTTCTCAGTATAGTTTATTACAACAGCAAGACAACAAACACATCCATTCAATTTGCTGCCCCTCTCATTTGCATATATATGTACCCAGATCCTCTTCTGTCTAGAGTAATCATTTTAATATAAGGAGAATAAACAGTTTTACATTGATTGGATTTGAGTTCCAAGACATTCTATGTCTTTAGGATTCTGTCAGTTAGGAATAAGATGAGAGAGCCCTCTCCCCAGTTCTTGACCTGCCAGGGTTGGCTCTTACCCAGTCGTAACCCTCCTCTCTTTCCAGACTCTCAACCCTCACACACCTCACCAACTATTAACACAAAGCCTCATGCATGCTGAACACTAAAGCTGAGCCATTCTGCTAGCCTAGCTGTGAGGTCAGTTTGGATGACAATCTACTTCTGACCTTTTATCCTGCTTCTAACTGGCTCTGAGACCAAATCCTAATTAAGCCTACATTCAGTAAAGGAACATGTTTAGTCTTGATTACATCTAGTCTTCCTGGAAGATGACTGTCTCATTCCCTGTTATGATCTGAATATGAAATAGATCCCCACAGATTCCCGTGTTTGAACATTTGGTCCTTCAACCTGTGGTGCTGTTTTGTAAAGTGTGGAGACTTTTGGACATGGGATCTAACTGGCAGATACAGGACTGTAGCGGAGGAGCTAGAAGGGGATAGCCCTGCCTGAATCCTTACCCAGGCTCTCCACTTCCCAACCAACACAATGGAACCAAATGTCCATATGTGTCAATCCGCTACAGCCGCCACACTCCCCCACAGTGATAAACTGTAACCCTCTCGAACTGGTCCAAAATAAATCAGTTTAAGTTGCTTTTAAAAACATTTTATCAGTGGATAAGCAAAGTAACCAGTTCACTCCAGTCTTACACACTGGGGTTCTCTTCTCCCTGGAACTCAGAGCTGTGTTGTTTTCTGTCACTCATCAGTCTTAGTCCCTGCAGCTCACTAAGGACATGCAGAGAAAATACTTCCTCATTATGATCTAAACTTTAATGAGCAGTCCTCTCCACACAGACTGCTTGCTCCTGCTCTGGCTCATGAGGTTAGTTTGAACCACGAGCAAGTATATAAAACACAGAAAACATTTTTTCCCTCCCTTTTAATTCTTTTCATCCAAATCTCTGCTTTTACCTTGAGAGACATGCTGGGTGACCTTGAAAATTATATTTTATTCAGATTCATCGCAGAGTTAGGAAGTTATCCTTCAATAAAGGATAAGATTCAAGGCTGCTTGTGTAACTTAAATTTCCCCCAGCCCTCCTATCTTCAAGGTGGCCCTGATCATCACTCCCTGAAATTCTGCCAGTTGAGACTAAGGGTTTAGATGAGAAACCCTGGTTTGTGAAGCCATGTCTTATGATACTTGCAATGAGTGTGCTGCAAGCCAGGCATGGTAGCCCCCAGCCTATTATCCCACCGACTTAAAGAGACCAGGACAGAAGAATGGCAAATGCATGGCCTATGTTGGCTACAAAGTTTAACACCAAACTGGACACTTAGTAACACTGTCTAGCATGGGCTACAGAGTTTTGCACCAGCTCTGGCTGCCTAAAATAAGAAGCAAAAAAAGAAGGTTGAGGTTATAGCTCAGTGATAGAGTGCTTGCCCAGTAAATGTGAGGTCCTAGGTTAAGTCCCCAATATCACCAAATTTTTTTAAAAAAGGAACTTTGGACGAAAGATAACTGAGACACTATTTTGTAGTTTAAATATATGATTCTTCCAAAGAATGGCTCCAAGCCTCCCAGTGTGAGGCCAGCATGGTGTCTGTGGACATGTGTTGTACAGTGTACACTGTTTTCCCTTTAGTAGTTCGGATCCCCACAACCTCCTGTCAACATTTGGTGAAAAGACGCCAAAGAACACAGCCACCTTGTTAATTAAGCTCACAATCAGGTTTCAGGCATACAGATCAGTATGAATTATTTGCTGAATTTTCTCTAACCTTTACTCAGATGAGCTCTTTTTGTTATGGGCATTTTATTTTTGTTTCTTTATTGTGATAAGTAAAAACATGAATTTAGGTCAAGCAGGATTTTCTAGTACATTTCCAGAGATCTCTTCATAGCTAAGTCAGCAGAGATTCTGCAATATGAAGTGAGTGAAACAGGTCTGGAGTTTCTTGCCCTACGTCAATAGAAAACGTGAGCCATGACCAGGGCCCTTCCTGTTATTGCAGTGTCCTTATTCTTACCAGGCATTTTTTAAATACCAAGCTGTCTACAGCAACAGTAATTTAGTGGGTTTGTGTTAATATATTCATGAAGGGTCTTGATGGATTTGATAACCATAAGCAGCTGTTAACATTAAATTGCCATTTAATTTTTTTCAGTGACTTTCAAAGTTGTCAATATTAAACAGTAGGGCCTTACAAATTACTGCTCTAAGGCCAATAAGAATAAACTCAAATATTATTTAAAAGTCTCAACTAAGTTCTCTGTTTCACTACAGAGAAAACAGAAACACATGGAGGCATGTTTATCTCAGCCTTTAGGCACCCCATTATGTATTTGCCCACAATTTGCATCAGATGTTACTACATGCAGAAACGCTTTCATATTTTCCTCTCACACCCCTCTAACTTTGTTTATTTTTAGGATAAGGTCTCATATAATCCAGGCCTATCTTGGATTTGCCAATACTGGTATTTTAGGCATGCACCACCATACCTGGCCATATCCATTTAATTTTTTAACTCCACCCTACTCCCCTGTATCCCTTCCATCACATCTTTGCCATCCCCTTTCAGAATACAAGTTTCATTGCCATCAACGTGCTTGCAAGGCACTCTTCCTTTAGTAACTTGAATCTCCGTTCTTCCCCTCTATCTTCTCCCTGTTGGGTGGCTGCTTCAATGTTCCAGCTGTCTGGGTTTCAGTAACAGAGTCAGTACTGGTGACACCTAGCCAGCATCCACAACATGAGGACTGTGCCAGGCACATCAGTGTTATCAAGAAGGAAATCTGGAGCTGCGCAGTTCTCGCTGGCATGCTTCACTGGCCTTGGTCCATTTGTGCAGCAGTCTAAAGGCCACAGTGTGTACTGAAAACCAAGGACCTTCCTGTGTGAGTTCTCTGCCTCGGCCCTAGCTCCAGGCTCCCTCACTCAGATGGCATCAACAAGAACAGGAACTCCCAAGCCTGATTTCTCTTCTGCCAGCTCATTTTACATATACGAGCATTTAATTTTACCTTTTAAACAGATATCTTAATTTTTGCAGAGAGATTAAAAAAAAACTAGTCTTATATTTTTAGGCAGTGTTGGTAAATGCATTATTTTTAACTTTTAACTGGCTGGAATACAGAAGGGGACTTTCTGCGTCATTCACAAATAACATGCATTCTCTCACTGTCCTTGACTGCTACACATTAGATAAAGATAGTCCTCATTTTTATAATAAACTATAAACTAATGAACTATAACTGTGTGCTCACTGGGGAAAATAACTCATAGACATATGGAACATTTTCAAGAAAATTTTTTATTTCAAAAAGTAGAAAAGCATGCAACTTTTCATGAAAGAATAAATCTTAGCTAATATTTGAAATAATTCCCTGTAGCAGATAACAGAAAATGTCTTCTGCCGTTTTGGAGTATGTATGTGTGAAGGTGCGTGCGTGCGTGCGTGCGTGCGTGCGTGCGTGCGTGCTTGTTTTTTTTAGTAATTGTTTTTTCATGATTTAGTTTCAGTCACAGAAAGTTTCAGTCATTTGGGTATGTCAGTCTAAAACTTGACACGTCACAATGAAGGTGTAGCTCGGTGAGAGTGCTTGCCTAACATTTAGGAGGCCCTGGGTTCAAGCCCCAGTACCCTCCCTCCATTAAAAACAAACAAACAGAATCGCAAATAGAAGGCAGGCATGAAATAACTAACATCTTTATATCATTTCGTAACTTTAAGAAGAAAGAACTAATGTAAAATACACGAACTTTTACACACAGTTTATAGGTAAGAGTCTTCAAATTCTCACATCTTTGGCTTGTGGTGGAAGGCAGTGTCGGTGTTACTCAAGGTGGAGGCTGTAGCCTGGGATGGATCCACAGACTGATACCATTCCATGGGAAGGTGAGTGTGAAAGCAAGTGTATTTAGAAATATTGACAAGTCATTTGATGCTGCCTTGTATCTGATACTGTGTTTTATAAATGTAGCAGTCAGGATAGTTTAGCTGTTTAACCAAAAAGAAAAGAAAATGTCCATCAAAGGTAACCTGAGAAACACTAGTATAATCTAAAGTCAATAAATAATTATAAAAATTTCAAGTTTTACCCTTTTTTTTCTACTAAATTGTCTTTGTGGTCTCCAGGGGTCACTGGGGATTGAACCCAGGGCCTCATACATGCTAGACAAGTTATATATCCATAGCCCTCTTTTTAGCTTTTATTTTGAGACAGTCACATTAAGTTGCCCCAGCTGGCCTTGAACTCACTCTGTAGCCCAAGTAAGTCTTGAACTAGTGATCCTCCTGCCTCAGCCTCCTGGTGGCTCAGATTACAGGCCAGTGCCGAAATGAAAATGCAGACAAGAGCTAGGAAGATTATTCTGGTGGACCACTAAGGAAACAGAGGCAAACAGAGGCTAAGTGCTATGGCTTAGTACAGAGTGCTTCCCTAGCATGCTTGACTCTCGGGACCAGGAGCCTGGGGAAGGTCAGAGCCAGACATGGGACAACAGAGACCCAGAAACTTGAAGATGCTATAAGGATGGCTTTGAGATAGGAGGGAGGAACCCCAAACCAAGGACTCCAGATGGTCCTGGAAGCTAGAACTGGCAAAGGAAAGAATTTTCCACTGGAACTTTTAGACAGAATGCAGTCACTGATGCTCAGCTTTGGCCTAGCTCAACAATGAAAGTCACTGTAGATTTTTGTTTCCAGAAAAGAAATCTGTATGTTTGTTTGTTTTTCAAAGCTACTAGGCTCCTGGTAATTGGGGTTTTTTTTTGGGGGGGGTTGTTTTTTCAAGACAGGGTTTCTTAGTGTAGATCTACCTGTCTCTGTCTCACAGGGGCTGGGATTAAAGCCATGCACCACCACAGCCTGGCTTGTGGCAGTTTGTTATAGCAGCAATAGAAAACTAATATACACATTTGCAAAAGTCTATACGCTGAACAGTATATCTAAATCATTGATAAACCAGCATTTGTAATCACAATACTGACTAAATGACACTTTAGCCCAGGCCTATAATCCCGGCCACTCAGGAGGCTGAGCCAAGAGATCAAAACTATAAGGCCAGGTTCTGTTACTAGGGAAACCCTTCCTCAAAAAGTAAAGAGAGTGGGAACTGGGGATGCAGCTCAGTGATAGAGTGCTTGCCTAGCATGTGCAAAGGGCCAGACTGCAATAACCCTATAATTAGCGAGGAGTTAGCTAGGTGTGTGTGTGTGTGTGTGTGTGTGTGTGTGTGTGTGTGTGTACACCATCTTAGCTAATAAGACTATAGGCAATATACTAATGCTTTTGACTCTTGTTTACATACTCATGTGTGTAAATCATTGAAAAATTTCAAGCATTAAACCAGTATTTCATCACCACCATCCATAAACTTTTGGCTTCACTAATGAATATTATTTGACAACATCAAAATTATTAAGACACTGTATCAGCCTAATCTTGATTAATTTCCCTGATAATTTCTAAAGTTCTAAAGCAATTGCCATTTTTTTTCTTATTTGTACTTAGAATAAAATTTTCTAGATGAAATTCAGAAATATCCCAAGCCAAAAAAGAGAAAAAAAGGTAAACTGAATTGTGCAATGCCCGTTTGGGAGGCCTCTAAGAAGTATGTACTGTGAAATGCTTACTAGCAACCCAAGCTTCGTCTGTGAAAAGGCTCAGCTGTTTGTGGAGCTCATCGTCCATCTCTGCCAAAGACCTTTGGATTTTCATTGCATGTTCTTTTCCATGGTTGACTTTCAGTAGTAAGAACCTCTGAATACAGCACGGTCTCTCACTCGTGCCCCTAAAAGAAGGCACTAGAGTCGGTTGTGCATCAGGTAAATGAAAGCTGTTAGGTTAATCCCAGTGACCCCTGTGCCTCATCACACATGTATAGGCCCCTGCATTATTTCTATCCTGGAAGCTCCATCTGTAGAGACTCACCACTGGAAGTTTTCTGTACTACATTTTCCATTGTTTTGTGAACTTAGTGCCTTTGTGTAATCGTTTTAAGCAACAACAAACCAAGAAATCATCACAAAATTCAGATGAAGCAGCCGTTCTCACTGCCTGGGTTAAATTGTTATTTGAAGACATGTAATTGAAAGTCTGCTCCTAAAATACATCTGATGAGCTTGAGTGAGAAGCATAACCTTTTTCTCCCATTACTTTCAAGTCTTTTCTTATGTGGGATAAACAAATTCAATTTCTTTTTGCTGAAGCCCATAATCATGCAACAATCAATATGCAGAGCTTGGGATGTAAGTGGTACAATGATTGCCTGGCATTCAAGGCCCCAGGTCAATCCCTAATATGGCACACATAAACAAATAAATAGACAGATAGATAGATAAATAAATTGCAATATGACGCATTTAATGTTTCTCTACAATGTCCCCCTCTTTTTATTAGTATCATTAACTTCCAGCGCAGTAGATTCCATCTAACTAAACACTAACTTCTAACATTAGAAATCTTGGTCAACTCTTTATATAAACACAAGTTGTTTCAACAAAGGCTGTTAGGAATGACATTTTTTTAGTGTAACTATTCAACAATGCCGTCATTAAGTTTTATATATATATGATTTCAAAACTACAAATACAGAAGACAAAATTCTGAAAAATATGCTAATGTCTAAGTGTGCACCCACAAACCCTGATTATAAGGATTTTTACTTTACAAAAGTACTATGGCGTGTTTTGATACGTTGAGGTCTTCTATGAGGAAACTGACATGGAGGAGAATGAACTTGGCTCAACCTGATTAATTATGGAGCCTGTAGCCTCGTTCATGCGGTCAGCTGTAAAAGTACCAAAAAGAGAATCACTCAGGCAAGTACTGAGGCGCACTGACTGAAGAGGGAGAGGAGATTAGTAGCCAGGACCCTTCACGAAAAATAAGGTAGTTTAGGAACAAATAGGAATAATCCTGTCTGTAGAGAAGACAAGAGACAGGCTAGTCGACCTTGCAGATTCCCTGAAACACAAGTACTAGATCCAAAGCGCACATAGAGAAGTTGCCCTGGGGTGGGAGAGACACAGGTTTGGAACACAGAAAAGGAAGCCAGACGAGGATAGACAGGATGGGTCGGAAATTTGATACTAGAAAGTAGAAGGGCTTGCCATTGGAAGTTCTGAGTTTTGCTAAGAATACTGAGATCATCTACTGAATATGTAGAGAGTGAATAAAAATTTGCTTGCTTTAATGTTTAATAAAATTAGCTAGCTGGTAGCAGTAATACTTTCCGCTCCCACTAGTGCTCAATGTCATCAAGTAGGCAAGTGTGCTGTTTTGATATCATGCACAGCAAAACGGCTTTTCACACGCTCTTGGGAACACATCAGGCACTGATTTGCATCAGCTATAATTTACATATTGATCTTTTCATTAAAGAATGACAGAAACTTCAACTGGGATAGGAATTTAGGCCTCACTTTGCATTTTCACTGCAATATTTCCTTAATTTTATTTTTATGTATTAGTGTATGTGATATGTTGTGAATTCAGGTGTGTGTGTGTGCAAGCATGAGACACTTGTAGATGTCAGAGACAACTTTTAGGTTCTCTCATCTTGCCATAAGTTCTGGGATTGAATGCAGGTTGTCAGGGTTGCATGGCAAGCACTCTCCTGATGAGACATCTTGCCTGCCTTACTATTTATGTCCATTTTTGTTTATTTTGCTGTGTGTGTGTTGTGTGTGTGTGTGTGTGTGTGTGTGTGTGTGTGTGTGCGCGCACGCGCTCGCATGCGCACGCGCGCGCTCATGTAAGAAGGAGCAGTGTTTCTGTGCATGTGAGTGTAGGCGCTAGAGGAGAGTCAGATGCCCTAGAGCTGGATTACAGGTGATTGTAAGCTGCCCAGAATGTGTGCTGGGCTTCTCTACAAGAGCAGTATGTTGTCTGGAGACAGACTCTTAACAGCAAGCCCTGGAATCAGTTAATCTTAAAGTTACTATAGTCGTTAGAGTTAGCTGTGCCTGTAAATGACAAAATGCCCCAAATACGGTGACATAAGCAGGATAATGTTTTTAAAAGATGGGTGGACCAAAGCAGGGTTTCATCAAGTACCTAGGATAGTCTTGAACTTTCAATCCTCCTGCCTCAGCTTTCTGGGGGTGGAATCACAGAAGTGTCCCACCATACCCAGCTTCTTACTCATGTTTTAGAGTCTTAAGTATGCAGTCAGGACTGGTATGGACATTCCTGTGCAGTCTCCAGCTATTTGGTTCTTTCATAATGCCAGCTTTCAGTTTCACTGTCCAAGGTGATCCATATTCTGAGTAGGAAGATGGAAGAATGCCCAGGAATAGAGACCACAAGCGTGCTCCAAAAATTGGAACCTTATGGAAGGTTCTCAAGCTTCCACGGGACAGTTCTACTTACATTTCAAAAGTTAGAGCTGGGATATATGGCAATGCTAACTCAAAAGATCCTGCAAAGTGCTTTTTTAGGGTGGTCCCACGTACAGCTCAAAGTGCTATCCCAGTGGAGGGGGAGGAGTAGATATCAGAGGCTGGCTAGCTGTCTGCCACAGCCTCAGAGTGACTTTCTTCTTGCTGAGCAACGGCAGACTCTAAACAGAGCTGATGCCAGCACTCAGCCTCAACATCCTAGAGAACGTGTATAAACAGGAAACCTGATGGACGGCCTCTGCCACCACTGGCCACCTGCTAGCTCTTTCTCTCATCCCTTCGGACAGAATGGTTTGTGTTGTCCAGAGTCTGTTCCTTTGTTTCTGTGTGTGGATTTGATTTAAAAAAAAAAAAAAAACTTTCTTCACAAGCCCAACTGTAGTGTTTTCTGAACCTGGAGCACTAACAATTGGTTTAAGCTCCAAATAAAGGGAAAATTAACTTATATCTATTTTTCTAGTATGCCAAGAGACTCAGAAATGGATTTGCAGG